TTAATTTTTTGTTTTTTTATTTTATTTTTCTATTTTTTCTTTATGTTATTATTTATTATCTTTTTTTTTTTTTTTTGTGCATTAGTCTACGCATATTCTTACTGAACTCCCGATTTAAACACCAATATCATGATTTACATGATGCGCTCACACAATTTATCAATGTCAAGGTCTAAGGTGGGAGGGGTTTGGCTTCCACCGTTCAGGAGGCGAAGGTAGACGACCCTAGTTGGGGGGGAAGGGGCTAGGATATTTTAGGGACCTGAATTTGTGAAGTGGAAAAAAAAAAGAATAATAAGCATTTTAAATGGCATTGAAAAGCAAAATTATAATTTTTTTAAATGGAAAGTGGCAGGTCAAAGGTCATCGGGTTGCACTGCTCTAGTCCTGTGTGGAAGACAATCTTACCTAATCATTCTTAAATTAAATATAGCTGTTTATTCTCATGCGCGGTACCGTTTTACTGAGAGCTCTTTGCTGGCATCCGTCCGTCACAATGTGACGATGGAGTGGGCTTCGGAGGACGAAATCCACATGGCCTTGGATTATTCTTCTAGGATTATAAGCTGGTTCCCAAAAGCAAATCGCCTCTCTCCACGCCGCTGGATAACCCAAGGGAACATGATTGGATGATACAGCTTGGCACCAGTGACGTCGCAGGAGTTGTGGAATGTTTCATTGTATCAATGTTATCCACCTTTCGGGACTCCAGCTCCGGGTTTGATTTCAGAGTTTCCTTCTCTTAGATGAGTTGCCATCCAAGGTTAACGAGTCCCATCCACCCGGGGTGCTGCTGGTGATTTTGCTGAGCGCTCTATACCTTTTCTAATCGTCATGATTTGATTTCAGCTACGTTCCACATGGCACCGGTCTCACTTTGGTTTTGATCTCTATCCCCCTCCTCCCCCTCCCCAAAGTTATTTTAGAGACCTGAACGAGATACTTTTGAGCGGTCTTGAGCTGGGAGCACCAGGAAAGACGTTACGGTCTACTCTACAAGGTGTAGCCCTGTTTATATAAAGTCGGTACCGGTAGAGAAATCTGTCGCGCTCTCCCTACAAACACTGCGGCTGCATGGAGCCTTCGGAGATTTCAGGGGCCCAATGTTTTGATGTGAAGCTACCGGTAATTCTGAAGGATCAACTTTCAATGCTTTGGGCACAGAACTGAAAAGCGGGAAGAAAAGGGGGGGGGGGGGTGGCTCCAAAATTCACGCGACGTCTGTCGATATATTCGGTAAATAAATTCATCAATCATGTTAATTTGTGGAATTGGTAATGAAACCATTACAAATGTTATTTTCCCGGTAATGATATAATAATTAAATATCATATAGGCCTAAATATCTACATTTTAAGAGTCCAAAATAAATTAATCTTTTAGAAGTGATGACGATATAATTTTATACAAATGAGAAGGTATCCATTATATCAGGGGTGTCGAACACAATACTCAAATCACACGAGAGGTTATAGGCCAATATTCAAATCACACGAGGGTTTGTGGGCCAATACTCAAATCAAACGAGAGGTTGTGGGCCAATACTCAAATCACACGAGAGGTTGTGGGCCAATACTCAAATCACACGAGAGGTTGTGGGCCAATACTCCAATCAAACGAGGGGTTGTGGGCCTATACCCAAATCACACGAGAGGTTGTGGGCCTATACTCAAATCACACGAGAGGTTGTGGGCCAATACTCAAATCACACGAGAGGTTGTGGGTCAATACTCAAATCACACGAGAGGTTGTGGGCCAATATTCAAATCCGACCCTGCCAACTATCGTCCGATATCCCTCACCAGCGTGGTCTGCAAACTGTTGGAGCACATAATCGTAAGCACAGTCATGGAGCATCTTGAAAGCCAAAATATACTCAATAACCGTCAACATGGCTTCCGAGTCAATAGATCATGTGAGACCCAGCTTCTCGAATTTGTAGAAGACCTGATGACCAATCTGGAGAACCACAAGCAGACTGACGTGCTAGTAATGGACTTCGCAAAAGCATTTGACCGTGTGAATCATAGTTTGCTTCTACACAAACTCCAGAGATATGGGATTCAAGGCACCACTAAAACATGGATCTCTAGCTTCCTCAGCCACCGACGCCAAGCAGTAGTGGTGGGCGGTACAAGCTCCTCCTTTGTCGATGTGAAGTCAGGGGTCCCCCAGGGATCAGTCCTGGGCCCCTGTTTGTTCCTAGCATACATTAATGACCTACCGGAGAAACTGACATCACAGGCAAGACTGTTTGCAGATGACACAGCAGTGTATAGGACGATCGCCAACAGATCTGACCAGGACCAGCTACAACAGGATCTCAATCTGTTAGCTGAGTGGGAGATGAGCTGGGACATGGAATTTCACCCTGCCAAGTGCCAGACACTATCAATCTCTAGAAGTTGTACTCCTCTACACTACCAATACAAACTGCACGGCCATATTCTTGAGCAAGTTTCCTCCGTAAAGTACCTGGGTGTTACCATTCAAAGAGAGGTCCGCTGGGACGAGCATATTAACAATGTATGTAACCAAGCAAACCAAGCCTTGGGGTTCTTAAGGCGAAATCTAAAGATTGGCAACTCCTGTGTGAAAGAAAGAGCATATAAAGCCTTTATCCGTCCGATTTTAGATTATGCATCTTCAGTCTGGGACCCATTTACCCAGAAGAGCATTGACAGGTTGGAGGCGGTCCAGCGACGAGCAGCACGCTTTGTCCTAAACCGCTACAGGAATACCTCTAGTGTTGGCAGCATGCTAGAAACACTAGGCTGGTCACCATTGGAGAAACGACGACGACAATCCAGGCTCTCCATGATGTACAAGATAAATAATGGGCTGGTCCACTGTTCCAGTATTAAACAGAAACTCGTCCCTCTCCCCCATAGACAGCGACGAGGCCATGACAGGCAATTCAGGCTCATACCAGCAAGAAGCCAGTATAGGAGCTGCTCATTCCTGCCCAAGACAATCAGGGACTGGAACAATCTTTCAAAAGGAACGGTTGAGGCGACAACACTAGACACATTTGTGTCTATTGCCTCATCATTTGACACATCTGCATTACATATATAAGAGTATTTTAGACAATATGTAAGACATACTGTAACATAAACTTCAATTATTTTTAAGTCGGTTGGTAGTACATTTAAATTTAAACATTTCTTTTAATTCATAATTTATATTCTTCTTAAAACTTTTAATAAGACGCAATGAAGGACGTGTCAAATTAGTATTATGCAAACATTAATTATAGTTGTATGGGACTGATGCCCCTGATAATATGAATTTTCTTTATTGTTTATGAATGGCATGGTATCAAATTATCAAATGTTAAAATGAAATAATAGTGCTTAAATTTATATTAAAAATTAAAAATAAAATAATACTAGCCTACCTACTACTACTAATACTAATACTAATTGATAATTTAAATGTCATGTAAGACTATGTCAATATGGATTCTTTTATAAGTTTATTCTTTAATAACTAGCGTCTTATAATTTTATTTTAAACTTATAGTTAAAATGAAAGTTCCTTTGCCTTGTGTTAAAAACTTTAAAATAAAAATATATAAATGAACTGCATAAATTACTGCCTGGAAAAAGTTTGGGGTCAAAAATCAAAGGTCAATTTATTTTAACATTCAGTGTATTTATAAGTAATATATTCTGGGTAAAAATAAAGTTTACTTGAGTTAAATCTGCATTTTAAAATATCAAATTTTGCTGAAATTATAAATTAATACAATTATCAATAATTTATATTTATCAAATATGTAAAGTAAATTAAGATTTTATAAGTCACTCAACACTATTGATTATGAATAGTTAAAGTCCGAACGTATAAATAGCTTTATTTTCAGAAGTATGGCGGAAAGGTAACTCCTCGACAACCTAAATTTTATTAGAAAATTGTGTTTGTCATTTAATTATCAGGCATTCTTATTTTATTCAGTACCATAAATAGTAATATATTAAACTCAAAGAATCGGAATTGTCATTTAAGAAGTTTTATCAATTTCATTGGGATTTGTATTTTATAATTTCGACATGGCGTCTGCTGATTATTCCTCAGTTTTCTGTTTGATGGTTCTGTGGTAGAGCATTTCATTTATTTAGTCTTCTCTTCCACTCATTTATAATTTAGGTAACATATTAGAGTAACTTGCCCCAATGCAACCACGAGTCAACTCTTCCTCACAACTTTTTAATGATTGGAGAAAAAAAAAAATTATTGGTTGCTTAGAGGGCACCAAGTGAAATCACTGACTTGGCAGTGTTTAGGAGATGTTCTAGCAGATAACTAGCATAATAATAGGGAAAAATGCTTACGTCTGAGTAGCCCCTTAAGCAACCACCTGCCCGCCCTGCAACCAATGATTTGCCCTAAGTGCAACCACCTGACCACAGTGCAACCACAAAGGTGCCCTCACTGAAACCAGTTGTGATTTAAAGCTAAGGATCTCCCAATACACTCACACGATACACACATAAAAACATACATAAATGTGACACATATAGACTAGACTACAACATTAAAACAAATAACTCATGCATTTTTTCATGACATTCATGGTTGATTTTTATTTAATTCTAACTAATAAACAAAATTGCATTCTGAAATAGACTCTAGTCTAGACTAGTCTAGTCTAAATCTAGATCTAAATCCTCAAAATCATCTTCCGACTCGTCATCGAAAATCATTTGAGACTCATCAATGCTTGTATCTGTTTCAGAATCATCCATTTTGTTTGTCTTTCTCTTCTTCGGCCCTTTCCCTTTTGAATTGTCTTTCAGCTGTCTTTTCTCTTCCAGTTTCCTCTTTCTGTCTTCTTTTCGCCTTTGGTTTTCTTCCTCCCTCTGTCTTTTTTGTTCTTCTCGTAATTTTATTTTCTCTTCCTTTCTTTTTGCTTTCTCTTCTATAGCCTTTAATTTCTCTTGTTTCTTTTTTTCTAGGTCTATTTTTCTTATGGCCTTTCTTTCTTCTTCTTCTTTTTCTGCCCGGTCTTTGTTTATCAGATGGTCAATGAATTCTTTTCCACTGATCAGTGGTGGGAGCTTTTGTTGTGTTCTTCTTCTCATGGAGCTCTGTTTCAGAACAGGCAATGACAGTGGATCCTTTGCAACATTAGGTGGAGGATTTTGTCTGCTTGATTTGGAATGGTGCAATAGAATATTCCCATGATAAAGCTTCCATAATCTGTACAATGGGTCATCACAGTCATAACCCTCTTCCAGCCTTTCATAATATAGCCTTAACTCTGACTCTCCAATCTGTGCACAAATCATTGCAAATTTTTTTAAATTTGAAGCAATGTCAGATGAAGCATCGGGGCAGGTGCTTGTGCCAGCAATACATGGGGGTTCTGCTTCTGATGAACTAGAAGGCACTGGTACAGGGGCTGGTATATGGTCGTCTGACAGAGAGGCTCGTAAATGTGGGGCTGGTGTAGAACTAGATGGGTTTTGTGGAGAGGGCATAATTGTGATAGTGGCATCTGAGAGAGATAGCAAAGCTGGTGTGTCTTGTCCGGCTGCAGGCTGATGTTGGGGTGTGGCTGCCCCGTCAGGCACAGTATGTGTCTGATTTCCCACTTCCATGGACATGCTGGGCAGTACTTTCTGCCAGTTAATGTTTGTTGGATCTAATGGGTATAACCCACTGATTTTAAATGCTTGTTGCGCAAGACTTTTCTGCACTGTTGCCTGGTAAGCTTCTTTAAATACATTTGCAAATGTACGTTTCGTTATAATCTCAGCTTCATTTTGTTTTTTCACAGCCTTCCGCCATTCTGCCTTCATTGTTTTGAAAATGCCCACATCTAAGGGCTGCATGATGTGAGATGAATGGGCAGGCAGGGCATAGAGAATAATGTTGTTCTCTTTGCACAGAGTGGCAGCCTGGATTGACTGGTGACTTATGTGGCCATCAACTAAAAGAAGAATCGGCTTTTTTAGCTGTGCTGTTTGGGGAAGAAAAACCTGCTCCAGCCAATCAGCAAATATGGTCTGATTGGTCCATCCATTTGTTGATTTTGTAATGAAGCACTCCTCAAATACTTCATTTGGCTTAAAGCCACGGAATTGAGTACCAGGGTATATAAGCATTGGCCACACATAGTCCCCTATGGCATTGCAGCAAACAAGTGCAGTGATCATTGTTTTTTGCTCACTACCTAGCTGGTAAACAAATTTCGTTCCCATGAACGTTAAAACCTTTCCGGTCCCAGAATCAAGACTGAACCCTGATTCGTCGCAGTTAAAAATTCGATTGGGCTCCAGGAATATCGAGGCATCTATGTCTTTGACTGTTGCAGTTAATTGATCAAACCATTTGATGAGGGATTCCTTTGTTACAGCAGCCCGTTGTTTCCCAAGTTTTTGAGCTGTGCGTAGGACTATTTGTGGATATCTCATTTTAAAATTTCGATACCACTTCTCTGTCGGCATATTATTTGGAAATTTGGAATTCCGGTTACGGAAATTTAACATTTGCTGTATAATTGTAAAGAGCTCTTGTTTTGATTTTCCGAACCCTCTGTCTGCAGAGTCTTTAATAAATTTCACTATCTCCTCCTCTTCAGTTTTGGTGAGAAAGGTTCTCTCTGGTGCACTATTGATTCCTCGTCGTCCTGTAACTTTATTAATAAAAGTTCCCCAAGGAATGCCATAAGCTTCAGCAGCCTTTCTCTTAGGCATCCCATTGTCTACAGCTTTTAAAGCTTCCAACAAAGCTTCTTGGGTCCACTTTGGTTTAGATCTATTCTTATTCATTATGCTGCTTCTGAGGAAAAAAAAGATAGATTGGTTTTAGAATGGTGCTACCATAAACAACACATCAAACAAAATTCACAATTTAAAAAAAAATGGAAACAGCTTATTATTTATTTAATCAATAGTTTATAGAAGCATAGATGGAGTCTAGATATAATTTGGTTATAAATCTTAATTAGATCTTAACCAGACTAGACTAGTAGCACTATGTAGCAGTATATGGTTGCACACAGGGCAACTAAAAATTTTACCTCCCTCACTGCAACCATTTTGGTTGCGCATGTGACAACACACTTATGTGCCTTGCCCTGAGTGCAACCAACAAGAAATCAGACTTGTCTATCGCATTTAACACATTTCACAGTGTTTACAGTCTATTTTAACCTTTACACAACCTCATTACAACGTTTGCAACTCATTCACGCCAAATACTAAGCATAAATAACACAGTCAACAACTTACCTTAAAATTTCACAAACAGATGTTTTTTTTCCGTCGAACTTTCGCTGTTGATTCCGGCTTACAAAATGGCTGTAAATGATCCGGAAGTAAAAGAAGCTAAAAGGTAGACCAAAGGGAGTCTACTGAGTATATCTTTGTTTTGATATATCGCCTACATCGAGAGTTAAGTAAAGTGGTTGCTCAAAGGACTGGTTGCACAGGGGGCAAGTTACTCTATCTGTACTACTGCCATTGTAGTTTTGAACGGAATCTACCAGTGATTTTTACATAGATGAACGTTTGAAATTCATCTTTTTTTGTGACTACATAAGACATAAATATAATATATGGTATCATATTATTATTATAAATATGATATCCAATATTTCTAGGTTAAGTTTAAGTCTAGTGTAAGTTGAGTAAGAGTTCGTAGTCATGATCATCATGATAGTCAAAGATGACAAATCAAAAAATTTATTGTCTGAAAACATGGACCAAAATATTTTCCAGAAAAATGCTAGGCATAGACTAGGCTTATCAGAAATTTGTGTAATGTAATTTTAGACATATGACATGATCTGAATTTAATAAATTTTGTAGACAAATGTTTTTGTTTTAAAGTCAGAAACTTATTTTATAAAAATAATGCACCTGTTTTGACTCAGATCTGATTATAGAATCACACTTTGACCTGCTACTAAACATTATTAGTATAAATATAATTAGTTATTGAGCTGTCAGTTTCTCAGAAGTTTCTGCTTATTTAGACTTAGTATAAATAAGGGTAGACCAAATCAAATAGGCTATAAATTGGACAAATTTAGTGGCAGGGGCGCAGGGCTAAATTCTATAACTATGATGCTGTGGACATTGCTATTTCAGTTCGTTTCTTTTACTTTTCATGTATTTGGAATGTACTTTTTTAAATCACCACTCACCACTGTCTACGGGACATAAACTGTCACTGATAAAGTGTTTATAAATTTTGCATTCTGTTAGATGGAAAAAAAAATATATAAATGTTGCTGTTACTAACTTTGTAAATTTTAAAATTATTTCATGACCATTTACATACTTAACTTTTCCCTCACTTATGTCATTTCATAAACAGAATAAATTTATATCTTAATAAAGTGTAGGTCTAATTGTGCATTATGGTACCAGCATAAGGCAACATATCCATCATTGAATAGCAAACATCCAAGGTTGTAAGCATTCTTTACAACAGATCAATGAAATTTAATTTTTTTATTGAAGAAAATATTAAGCCTTAAAATTTGACAGATGAGCTACTAAATATCTAACCTTTTTTACAATTGGATGAGAGTAATGCAAACTGATGTATGCAACTTAAAGCTTACACCAAATAGGAAAAAAAAAAAACTTTTCGAACCTCAGAAACCATTTTCGCAATCCTTCTAAGGGCATTGATTTTTCTAGTTCCTTTTTGTTAGTACTCATGCTTCATACTTAAAATTGTACTTAAGCTTAGCCCAACTTTACCAGTAAAGTGTATTCACAACTGGCAACCTTTTGAAATTTTTAACCTAGTTATGTCAGCCTGAGGCATAGTTTTCTATCTTCCTGTTAAGGCTTTTCTAGGCAATGGCAAATAACCAGTTGAGAAGGTCCAATACTATAAGTTTTCTAATGATTTACAGTAATTTGAATCTCACTACTTTGAACTGTCTAGGTTAAAGTTGCTTGATATGTTTGATATCTTTTCACTTTTATCTGATTTAATTTGGATATATTTAATTAGTTAAACTTTGAAATGTTTTAGTATTACAACATCCCAATAAGCAAAAAAAAGTGTAATATACAAATATATAAAATGAATGTTGATAGTTTTATTAAAATGCATTAAGTAGTAGCGATTTTTTTTTTTTACATTTAGTATTTAGTTATCACAATGTTTGTGGTCATTTGTGGCTAAAAATAAAATCGTTGTTTGCCCATAACAAATTTCTGTCATGGATCTGACATGTATAATATGCTCACTTAAGATTATAAAGATTGCTTAAATCAATTATTTAACATGACTCTTGCTAAATTTGCTAAATAATGGATATTCTCAATCACCATTCCTTCAGTGGCAAGCCATAATTTTATTTTTATGATAGTAAAACTTGATTTAGTTAAATTATCAAATGGAAGTTGTCCACAGCATTGTTAATTATAATATGTAAATTATATAGAATTAGTAATACATTATATTTTCAAATTTCAATTATATATATTTTTAATACATTTTAAATAGCGTTTTAAATTTAATTTTTTTAGATTATTCTAATATTTCAAGATGCAAAGACGGATTGATGAACCTCAGGTATGCTTGTTTTTTTATTTGAAATAATTCAAGGGATTTTGGGTAAAAATTGAATAAAAATATTACTTTTGGTGGTTTATATAATTTATTTTGCATACATCAACAGACATCCTGTTAATAATACAAACTAATTCTACTGGAGTCCATTTTATGTAATTATTATGCTAGCAGAAAAAGTGAAAAAATAAAAGAAAATTACAGTTTTCAAAATCCTATTGCACTTCATCCATTTCCGGTATAACAAAAAAAAAACAACAAACAAACAAAAATACAAGTTTTAATGTTTTTGTTAATTCATTTTGTCAGACCATCATAATGTTTCGCTATTCATTTAAAAGGGAGCCAGATGTTGAAATTATCTGGCTGTACTGCCTGCCTTTAGCCATTAGCTCAATTAAGAAGGAGCAAGATATTTAAATTATTTGTCTGCACCGTCTGCCTTAAGCCATTAACTCATTACTCGTTAAGTGATGGCAAGATATTTAAATTATCCATCTGCTCCACATGCTGCCTTAAGCCATTATGGCTGGGTGAGGGGATTCAAAATAACTAAGACTTCTTCTTTAAAACACTTTTTTTTAAAAGTGGCAGGCTAACTCTAGCCATATGACATTTTTCCGTGTCCTTTATGTCGGTGACCTGACGTTGATTTAGTCTTTGTTTTGTCATGTTTTTCCTTTGTGGATGTAATGAGAAGTTAAATATATTATGTATTAATCATGATTTTTTAAAATATTTAATTTACAGAGAAGGATGAATCCTAATGAGCAATATCCTCCCAGAGTGATACCAACAGGTGGACCACGTTTTGGAGATGTAAACGACAGTGGACTCTCAACTGGATTGACCTTTCCAATTTCTGGATACCAGTTAGTGTTTTTTCCAACATCATCTCAGTGCTATATAATAAATATAATGTGTTGAAATATTTTTGTGTTTTATATTGTCTTTTTTTTAAAATTTTGTTCCAGAATCAATCAACCAGGGTCACACCACGGACCAGTTCCAGGGTCTTTGTCACATGCTGTTGGAATAGGGGCATCTGGACAAGTAGGTGGCGCTAACCCTCAATCACTCCACAACCAGGCAGGACCTGGACACCAGGCTAGTTTGTCTGCCAGTCAAGTTAATCAGGTTGGGGTGCTTTTCAATAAAAATTTCATTAACTTAGTTCATCAAACACTTAGTTATTCTTAAAGTATTAAGCTTAAATACGTAGTTATTGTCAGAGTTCTTGAATCACAATTGTATTGTAATAAATTCAAGTTTATTTTAAATAATCACAATGTATTTATTTTACACAAGTACACAAATGAACTGTTGTGATATTTTTATAGGGTGTTGATTAGTAACAGCTCTGATCTGAAGGAGACAACAAAAATTAGTAGAGCATCCTGCCATTAAATAAAGGTTTTACTTTTGTAAGCATAAATTTTATGAAATAGCAATGTAAAAAAACTAAAATCATAATGGTGCAGGATTCTATAGAAAATTTAATGAGACTAATCTGTTTTAAAATATTTTAAACTACTAGTCCATGTTGGGGCCACCATTATCTGGCGGACAACAACAGCAGCAGCAGCAATGCCAACGTCTGAAGGTGGAAGATGCCCTGTCTTATTTGGACCAGGTGAAACTGCAGTTTGGTAATCAACCCCAGGTCTATAATGACTTTCTGGATATAATGAAGGAATTCAAATCCCAAACGTGAGTGTCAAAAGTTTATTTTCACTGCCTGAATCATCTATGCTTTTTATTTTATAATTTTCAACTTTACTTTTGGAATACTAACATCTTCAGCGTCTTTACAATTACAATAAAGTGTTGTTTTTTAAATTTTTCTAACAGCATTGATACTCCTGGAGTCATTAATAGGGTGTCTAACTTATTTAATGGTCACCGAGACTTGATTGTGGGATTCAACACATTCCTACCTCCTGGCTACAAGATCGAGGTTCAATGTGAGACCATAAATGTCCACCAGCCTGGTCAGCAGGTCATGTCCATTGCAGCTCTTGCCCAGTCACAAGCTGTTTCTAATGTCAACAGGGTGAGTAACAGTTTCTTAAGCTGTGTAAGAATCGGCATGCAAAGTTTGTGTTATCTCAACGATGTTTGTATTATTCTAACAAATTTTTTTTTAAAATTAGGATAGTATTGCTGGGTTAAATATTTTGCAATGGTTGCATATAAAGTTTACTGCACTGTGGGGAAATTGTTACTTTGAAAAAGCCACTGTTACAAAAAGTGTTCATCAGCAAAACCCAGCATAAAAAATAATTATTCTCTAGGCAAGCATGTATGGCTGTAATGATGTGTTCACCAGGCACACAAAATAACATTCCCAGAAGTTAGAACTAATTGGTGCGTTTTTACAATGTGCTTTGCTTGAATGCATGATTTGTCAAGTAACTTAATCAGATGGGAAGGTCAGCACTGCCACAACCAGACAGTTTATTTCTAGTAGTTAGTATTAAAAGAAAATTATTTTGAATGCTAAAATCTCTTTTAACTGTACTAAACCGACTCATTCTCACACCCCCTCTGACTGATAAACAATGCTCAATTCTGCTGGGTGCTGTCCATGGCTAGACAGGGGTAGATAGTACTTCGGTGGTGAGGTCAAGCTTTTCACCTATTGTTGTTTTTAAATGTAAACGTTTCTGTAATTGCTAATTTTTATATGAAGCACAGTGAGCCTAGCCCTAGGGTGGAGTACTGCACTATATAAAACCACTTAATAATAATAATAAAATAGTGACCTTTCTTTATTTGTCCATTTATAGCAAAAATCTGGCATGTCTATCTGGGATGTGGCTTTGGCGTCACAAGTGAGTATTTTTATTGTCAGCCCTTAATTTCATTGACATTATATTTAATTTATATAATTTATTATTGTTAATTTTACACATCATGAAATATATATATATATTCACATTAATTTAAATGCCAAGTCATTCCCTGTTTAAGAGTTTAGAAGCTTTACATACTTTGATGTGACGGTTGCCAACCTTATTGAATTCACTGCCCTAGGACCTTTCAAAATGTATCACACCGGGTTACTCCCCAATAGTATGATACTTGATTATAAAATTCTAGTGTTTGCTACCAACCATTTTAGGCGTCTCTCAATCAACAATTTTTATATCAAAAGTCAACCTATTCCGAATTGCAGCAGAAGACTGGCCCAGTCCATCATTCTACACTGTCTGCGCCATCTGCGTCTCCAGCAGCAGATCACAGGTCATACCACCAGTCACCACGTCCTCAAGCTGAACCTGCACCACCCACTGGTCCATCACTGTCACAACAACAACAGCAGCAGCAGCAACAACAACCTCAGCAGCAACAAGGTGGACAGCCTGTTGAGTTTAACCATGCTATTAATTATGTAAATAAAATAAAGGTCAGTTCAATAATGTAGCGTTATGTTGTTGCTTTTTCATTTTTTTCTATGTACATTATTATTAAAATTACGTATTTATTTCTGGAAAGAAATTAGATGTGGTTATGTGTAAATTAAAGACTTTGTTGCAATGTTTGATGACGGTATTGAATTCACTGTTATAGTCAATGGATACCTATTTTATTTAAAGCCAATTACACATCTGGTTTTATTTAATAAATTATAATTATTAAATCTTTATCTATTAAAATATATAAACATCTGAACTTATTTATTAATGATTACTGCAATTGAGAACTGAATCCTATGGTGTTAGAAATTAAAGTGGTGAATGGTTTAATCATTTTTATGGATAATAAAATGAAAAAATGCCTCTTTGCAGAATCGTTTTCAAGGACAACCTGATATCTACAAACAATTCCTGGAGATTTTGCACACTTATCAGAAAGAACAGAGGCTCACACGTGATGTAACGTTATTATTTTTATATTATATTACATTTTGGGGATTTCCATGAAATTTCAAAGACTTGTTCGTAGAATATTAATACAATATTTGGGTTTTTATTAACTTCAAATGACACATTGTTTTTCCATATAGTCTATTAATTTAAAAGTAAATGTTCGAATCTTTAAAGATTTTATAAACATAGAAATTTTCCAAAAATCATAAAATTAATGTGCATGTGACTAAATAAAGACAAAGTTCCTACTTTATATGCAAATATTTAATTTTTTAAATCCAACGGTTGTTCTTCCCGTCTTATAGCAAGGTGGAGCTGTTGGACCCAGCAAGCCACTCACTGAGAGTGAAGTGTACCAGCAAGTGGCCAATTTATTCAAACATCAAGAGGACTTATTGGCTGAATTTGGTCAGTTTCTCCCTGATGCTAATGGGGCCTCCAGTTATGGTGTTGCATCATTTGTAAGTATAATTTTTTTTCCATTTTTATTATTCATTTTCAAACAAAGGGAAATTTGTCAATTTAATTGTTTCTTCCAAAAAATTGATTTTGAATTGTTTCCATTTGGCTTATAATTTTTGCTCAATTCCAACTTTTAAGGCTGATTCTGCTCTGGGAGTGCGTAATGACCACTCCACAGCTGTGAAAAAGCCAGGCTATTCCAGTGGGAAAACCCAAACGAATAAAGCAGGAGCCAACGTGAAGAGACCTGCAGGTGCTGCATCTACAGCTGCTGTACCAACTTTCCAGCCCCCCGTTAAGGTTGCTATTTGTTTTATTCTTGTACACTTCAGTTTATTTTTTTCATGGATATCTTATACACGCTTTTCAATCATTTTTATTTTTACAATTATTTTATCTTATGCATGAAGGCCCTATACAAAATTTTTTACAACTTTTTTTTTTTTTTTTGATATTTACTGGACAAATTTTTCAGGCAATTATTTTTTTTGAATTTTTTTTTATTTTATCTTTTGCATGAAGGCCCTATACAATATTTTTTACCACTTTTTTTTTTTTTTGTGATATGTACTGGACAAATTTGTCAGGCAATTAATTTATTTGAATTTTCTTTTATTCTAGAAGAAAGGTGTTCCAAAAGACTTCAGCTTGGCTGATGCAAGCAAAACTGGAACTCTCACTGAGTATGCATTCTTTGACAAGGTAAGCTTATTTGTTTGTTTCATGCTGTCCTTTTTTTTTAACAATGTGACATATTTAAGATGAAGCACTTGAACCTGATGTTAATTTACTCAGACCTGACATTTTTTTTTTTCATCAGGTGCGTAAAGCTTTACGACACCAAGAAGTTTATGACAACTTCCTTCGCTCTATTGTTCTGTTCAACCAAGAAATTGTCACCAAGCAGGAACTTGTTACGCTTGTCAGCTTTTTCTTGTCGTAAGTTATTTGGGTGTTGATAGCGTGTCAGAAATTGCCAAGGTCCTAATAACTTTTCAAATGTTGTTGTGTCAGTCTAGTTTACAGAAGACAAGCCAAGATTGACTTTTTGATGGTTGATATTCATTGATAATTAAACTTAATCATTGAATGTATCTCATATTCCTGCAGAAAATTCCCAGACCTTTTCAGAGAATTCAAAGATCTGCTCGGTGTGAATGAGCAGGGTGGTGGAGTGGAGGCTGTACCCCATGGGGCTGCTCAGAAAGAAAGAATAAGTGGGGAGCTTGCAATGGAAATAGGTATGCATTGTAATTAATGCCCATGGGCAATCATCTGAACTTTGTATTATAGAAAACATGCACAATGAAAATGTTGCATTCTTCTTTTTTTTTTTTTCCCCTCTGTAAGTTCTTTTTTTCCTTTGCTGCAGATTTTACAACATGCAAGCGATATGGTGCAAGTTACCGTGGCATACCCAGCAAGTTTGTTCCTCCAAAATGCAGTGGGCGCACAGTATTGTGCAGAGAGGTAAGCTTCAAATTGCAAACTTAATTACATAAAAATGAATGTTATTAACTAAAAACTGTTGTTTTTTTTTAAATTATTATTATATTTTTTTAAATTTAATGCTGCTTCAACTTTTGTTACAGGTTCTCAATGACACTTGGGTGTCATTTCCTACCTGGTCTGAAGATTCTTCTTTTGTAACATCTCGTAAAACTCAGTATGAAGAAAATATCTACAAATGTGAAGATGAGAGATTTGAGGTAGGAGGCTTTTTTTTTGTTCCCCTAATTTTTGTTTTCATTACACAAATAGCCTAAGTTAATTTAAATTTACATATTTTTTTTTTCATTTTTTTTTTCATTTTTCTTTTTTTAAACTAGATTATTACTTATATTTTTACATAATGCTTTTAGATAAAAACTAATTATGCAGTTCAAATTTTTCTTCAAGCTTGACTATGTAATTGAGACCAACTTCTCCACAATTAAGTCACTGGAAGCAGTTCTAAAAAAGATGAACAGGATGCCCCAAGAAGAAGCTGCAAAATTTCGGCTGGACAACACATTGGGTGGTACATCAGAGTGCATCAATCGTAACTCTATTCATAGGTATGAGCAGTCAGCATTTGCTTGACATAATTTTCAAAACGTAACTTAGATAATTACATCTCTTAGCATCAGTTAATGTGCATATTTCTTTTATTCCTGTATTATGTTTTAGATATAACCTTTTGCTATCCTGAAAAGTAAAATTTTAATTAACCTTGTATTATGTGTTTCCTGTTTTGTCTGGAACTACTCCATGAAGCTTTTTATGTATTCTTTACATATACTGGTTATTTTTTTCTCTCCTTCACAGAATATATGGAGATAAGGCTAGTGACATTATTGAAGGTCTGAAGAAAAATCCTGTTGTAGCTGTGCCTTTAGTGCTGAGAAGGTACATGTTTCTTTCTATCTCACTGAAGTAGATGTACCTTGTGTGGCTTTTAAAAAAAAAAGTTAATAGGTAGTTGTGAACCTTATGTTTTCTGATTAACAAGTGTAATTTGAAGTATAATGTCAAGTGAGAACCCACCCACTCACACCCCACATACACAGTAGTGAAAAAGCAACTGACACGGTAACCAACTTACATCTCCAGGCTCAAGGCAAAAGATGAAGAGTGGAGAGAAGCACAAAAGCAATTTAACAAATTGTGGAAAGAGCAAAATGAAAAATTCTACCTCAAATCTCTGGATCACCAGTGTGCCAACTTCAAGCAACATGACATTAAAGCAATTAGGGGGAAGTCACTCCTTAATCAAATTGAGACCATCTACGATGAGGTGAGTCAGGTTGTTTTACAATTAGTTCAATACCATAAGTAGTAAATGTGTTTTAAAAAGGTTTGTTGATGGTGTAGTATTAAAATTCTTATCTTTAAAAAAGAGTCCAGAGATGTATGAAAGTAATTAATGCTTTAATGTGTAACGTACTGCATTGGAACAGCCATTTTATCTAAGCTTTTTAGTCTTCATCTTTTAAAATTCTTTATACATCATTATTATGTTACTGATAAAATACTGGTTTGTTATGCTCTTGCAGAGAGCTGATAGCGAAGAAGCCCCTCCACAGGGCCCAATGCTTACTTTTGTTTATGATGACCGTTCATTAATTGAGGATGCTGGTAACCTGATCATTCATCATGTCAAAAGACAAACTGGTCAGTTGCAGTCACCTTCATTATTTAGTTGTAAATGGATGCTCACCTGCTGAAGTCCTTGCTAATTTCGTTAGTGAGCTGTTATAACGATTCAGCAGCTGAAAAATATAAAAATATTTTTAATTTGTATTTAATGTCAGTATTGATGTTGGTATACAATGAATGTCAGTAATGATTCTGGTATATAAACTTCCCTCCGTAGGTGTTGACAAAGAAGCTAAAACAAGAATCAAACAGCTGGTGAAACACTTTGTCCCTGACCTGTTCTTTGCCCCAAGAGGGGAACTCAGCGATGATGACGGAGATTTAAACGAAGGTAAATTTATTTGTATATGTATTTATGTGTGCTCTAGTACAGTGTAACATAGCTATAATTTGAATCAGGCTATAATGATGGCTCGGCATAACTTTAGAAATTTCGTATATTCATTCGCCCATGAATATTTTTTCTTAAAAATTACACCTACACAAAAAACAACAACCAAAGAGTATAAAAAATATAAATTCACATTCAACACAATCACAAATCCTCTATTCCAATTTCAACACCACATAACTCACTAACCTCAAAGAGATTTGAAAATCCAGTTGTTTTTATTAAATCTCATATTTTCCAACTTTAATGTGAAACTATTTTATGTACCCCAATTATCATGTACTAGTGGGGTTCCACTGTATAAGAGACTATTAATATTTAAGAAATTTTCTGAATTGCTGAAACAAATTTTTAAAAATTTAATGATAAAATTATGAATCTATATTAAGATTTTTAAAAATTCTTTTGTTAGATATGGATATTGATGATGAAGAATCTACAGTGAATGTTCATCGAACATCTGAGAATAGCAAGAGGGCTAAAGAAAAGGCAGCCCAAGATGAGGAGAACAAGAAGAAGAAAGTTAATGGGGTCAAGGCTGAGCCAGAAGATACCAATAAAAGTGGGAAGAAAGATGATGACAACATGGATGTAGATAAGCCAGAGAAGGTTGGAGGAGCTGCTGCTGGAGTAGATAATGATGATGATCATGTGAGTGATTGATGTGTTTTAATATTTCATTCTAATATATAGTTAAAATGTCCACAAATTCTAGTACCTTTTTTACTTTGATTTTTTGCCTGATTTTTCAAAATCTTTCCACACACCTGTGAATTATGGTTCCCGTATAATCACGGCAAGATTTAAGACAAAAAAACGAAAAATCAATATGGACATCCTACAGGTGTACGCTCCTACCAACGATAGTAAAGAAGAGGACAAAGAGGATTTCTACAACAGACTGCGAACCCTGGTCCAAAGGTGTCCTAAGAGCAATATGGTTATACTCATGGGCGACCTAAATGCGAAAATAGGCAGCAACAATAAAGGCTATGAAGAATGCATGGGAACACATGGTATGGGAGAGATGAATGAAAATGGTGAAAGACTAGCAGATCTATGTGCTACAATTGGACTAGTCATCGGAGGAAGCCTCTTCATGCATAGAAATATCCACAAGGCCACATGGATTTCACCAGATATGTCAACGGCTAACCAAATTGACCATTTCTGTATTTGCAATAAGTTTAGACGGTCGCTCCAAGATGTTAGGGTAAAAAGAGGGGCAGATGTAGCCTCAGACCATCATCTAATTATTGCCAAATTAAGGCTGAAACTGAAAAAGAACTGGACAAGCGAGGGAAGCAAGCGCCAACATTTTAACATCAACCTCTTGAAAGATGAGTCCAAGCTAAAGGAGTTTAAACTTACCATCTCCAATAAGTTCCAGATCTTACAGGAACTAGGCAATGAAGAAACAATTGACAAAAACTGGAAAGAAATCAAAGAGATATTCACGACTACCTGTGAAGAAGTGTTGGGCCCTAGGCAACAAACGCATAAAGAATGGATTTCGGCTGAAACCATGGAAAAAATCCAATATAGGAGAAAGAAGAAGGCAAATCTAAACAATAGCCGCACCAGAACCGAAAAGGCCAGAGCATCAACAGAATACTCAGAAGCAAATAAAGAAGTTAAACGTAGTATAAGGACAGATAAAAAGAACTACATAGAAGGATTAGCAAGTGAAGCAGAGGAGGCTGCGTACCATGGAAACACAAGAGAATTATTCAGTACAATCAAAAAGTTATCTGGAAAGTTCAACAATCCAGTGAGACCAGTTAAAACTAAAGATGGGAAATCAATACCTGATGAAGAGGGTCAGAAAAAAAGATGGATAGAACATTTTGAAGAACTCCTCAACCGGCCAGCACCACAACACACACTCAACATAGAGCCAGCGGAAAAAGATCTAGAAATAGAGTGCAGCACACCCACAAAGCAAGAAATATGCAGAGCAATTAAACAACTAAAGAAAGGCAAGGCGGCAGGTCCTGACAGAATACCGACAGAAGCCTTGACAGCAGATATTACGTCTAGCACTGAAATGCTACACACACTATTCAAGAAAATATGGGAGGAGGAACAGATACCGGCTGAATGGAAAGAAGGACACCTCGTTAAGCTCCCGAAGAAAGGAGACCTTAGTTCTTGTTCTAACTATAGGGGAATAACCCTGCTGTCGATCCCAAGCAAAGTATTCAACAGAATGCTGCTAAACAGAATGAGGGAGGCAATAGACATCAATCTTAGGGACCAACAAGCAGGGTTCAGAAAAGACAGATCCTGCACAGACCAGATTGCCACACTGAGAATTATTGTGGAACAATCTCTGGAGTGGAACTCGTCACTATACGTCAACTTCATTGACTATGAGAAGGCTTTTGACAGTGTCGACAGACAGACTCTGTGGAAGCTGCTTAGACACTACGGGGTACCACAAAAATTGACAGACATAATTAAGGCTTCTTACGAAGGACTATCGTGCAGAATTGTCCACGGCCAGCAAACAACGGCGGCTTTTGAGGTACAGACCGGTGTCAGACAGGGGTGTCTGCTCTCGCCTTTCCTATTCCTGCTGACCATTGATTGGATAATGAAAATGTCTACAGAGCAGAAGAGAAATGGTATTCAGTGGACACTATGGAAACAACTTGATGACCTGGATTTTGCGGATGATCTGGCCCTAGTATCACACACACAGCAACAGATGCAAGAGAAAACCAATTATGTAGCACAGTACTCTGCTTGCATCGGCCTGAACATCCACAGAGGAAAAAGCAAAGTCCTTAAAATAAATACATCAAGCAACACACCTATAGCACTGGAAGGAACAAACCTTGAGGAGGTGGATAGCTTTACATACCTCGGCAGCATCATTGACATACAAGGAGGGACAGACGCCGACATAAGAGTGAGAGTTGGTAAGGCAAGAGCGGCATTTAACCAGCTAAAAAAGGTCTGGAGCTGCAGCAATTTGACCCTCCAGACCAAGGTCAAGGTATTCAACACCACAGTGAAACCTGTCTTGCTATATGGGGCAGAAACATGGCGAACAACAGCAGCTGGTTCAAAAAAGCTACAGACCTTTATCAACTCATGTCTCCGAACGATTTTACGAATCCGCTGGCCCACCGTCATCACCAACGAGGATCTCTGGCGGCGCACACAACAAGAACCAGTGGAAGAGTTAATCTGCCAGCGCAGATGGAGATGGATTGGCCACACCCTCAGAAAGCCCGCATCAAGTATCACGAGACAAGCCCTGACTTGGAACCCCCAGGGTAAGAGAAAAAGAGGTCGACCCAAAACAACTTGGAGAAGGGAACTGGAGGCAGACATCAAAAAGAGTGGGCACAACTGGGGACAGTTGGAGAGACTTGCCCAAGACCGGGATGCCTGGAGAGCCTTTGTTTGTGGCCTATGCCCCAGACGGGACGACAGGCGATGATGATGATGATGATGCTGTAATATGTCTGTCAAACATTTACATTTACCATTCTTGTAAATAGCAGTTGAAATTTCACACCACCAACCAACTTCTTGTATGAATTAAAATAAAACATTAGAAAACACAATATCCTATGAATGTTTGAGTGATATTTACAGAATAAATAAACGAACAGAGAGTCATTAATAATATCTATCAAAATACTTTTCTGCTATGCTAAAAATTCCATGATAATCTGGTTTTTAAAAATTAAAAAAAAACGTGATTCAAATTTCGTTTTGTTCCTCAGCCTTTTTCATGTGTTGGTTTACAAATATTGATTATAATTTTTTTAATACATTTTCTTTAAAAACTTGACCATTTCTTTTTTTTCAGGATAGATACACCCTCTTCTACTGTAACTCCACCTGGTACATATTTCTACGTCTGCACCAAATCCTCTGTGCCCGTCTGCTCAAGGCGTACTCCCTGACCCAAAAGTTGATTCAGGAAGAAGCCATCACCAAGAAGGAGAGAAAGGAGTCTGTGGCAATGGCCTTGCGTTTACGTTCACCATGTGAGGATTGTTTTCATCATCTATTCTTTTTGTAATAGTTAAAAGTTGATCTACATTTCCTCACCTCAAATGTGTGGTTTCTTGTACAGTGTGGTGCAGAGTAATATTCTGTGTTCCTAAATAAGATCTCATAAACTTATTTCAAAGGCTAAACCAGAGGCTATTTGACTGAGAGAATTAGTAAAAAAATAAAAAGACTATCATAAACAAGGCAGATACATGTTTTTTAAAAACTATAAATCTCAAGAACAGAAGATAACTTTTGATTAAAGAAAACAAAAAGACTTCTCCATAGTTTTGGTGTGTTTCATATTGTGAGAGAATTTTTAAATAGAATAAGATAATTATTTTTCAGTTGATTTGTATTGTTTACTTTCAACCAAAAAATTAAAATCTTTGTGAGTTTATAGGTTATATATGGTCAGCCTACCATGTGATGCATCTGTTTCATTTCAGTGGATGTCGATGTAGAAGACTACTATTCTTATTTCCTTGACATGATTCGAGCTGTTTTAGATGGCAACATGGAATCTAGTCAGTATGAAGATACCATGAGAGAAATGTTTGGGATTGAAGCCTATCAGCTCTTTACAATGGATAAAGTTGTGCAAAATATTGTGAGACAGGTAAATTGTCTACCTGGTTTTATTCTTATTTCTTTTTTATTTAAATTTAATTGGTTTTTTTTTAAAATTGTTTTTCAAACATCAGAATTAACACAGCAACAATAGCTCTTGTGGTACATTTTCTTTCATTCCTTCACAGTAGGACAAGTTTAAGAACACTGAATGTTGAAGTTTAAAGGTTTGCTTTAAGTTTAAGTCTTGAAACTATATATTCTTTAAATCTCTTTAAACCATTTTTTTTTGTCAGTTTCATAAAGGAATTATAAAAAATTAATGTGGATAAAAAAAATTCTGTCCAGGTGCAGCATCTAGTTATGGACGACATGCCCTCAAGACTAACCAAACTGTTTGAAGAACAGAAAGAGAAGGGAGGAGCTGGGGGCAGGTGGGCTACTCGTCATCAGAGGAGTATGTTGGAGCAAGCATACCTGAGGCAGGCAGAGCTGATACTGGTGGATGATAACCCTTTCCAATTTGTCATTGTAAGTACTTCTCCAAAGTCATCCATTATTCGGTTGGGGTACAGAATTTGAACAGACTCTTTTAATCAAGGTTAATTTTGGTAATTCATCGGGTTAATTATACATTTTCTAACCTAAACAATATTTTTTGTTGTCAAAAGTACATTGCTGTGCCAAAGAATTGATATGATAACTATTTAGTTTGTAGTCTCAAATTTCTTTTTACTTAGCAGGGCTGAAATCATGTTAAATTAACTGTATTCCCAATATATAAAGTGTTTATCTATTGTATTTATATTGAACAGAGGAGTCTCACAGCTCAGATGGAAATTGACATGCTGGACCCACCACCAGAATCCAATGATTCGGTCAAGGAAACGAGTGCCTGGTCTACTTACATCAATGAGTATGCTGCTGCCAAGAAGAATGAAGAATATATACACAGAGTAGGACACAGTCGACCCATTTATCTTGTCAGGTGTGGCCAACGTACACATTCAACTATTTGGATACTTGTACATGTTCATTAACTGTAATTGCCATGCTCAATGCTGATGGCAAGGGTTAAAGTCAGGGGATGACTATACTATACAATAATTTTTTGTTTGAACTGAATTTTAGATTTAGGAGCCAGAAAATATTTTCAGGAACTGTGGCAAACGGGTTCACTGTATTACTCCTACCCCTGGTTAAGAAAAAAAATTGTGGTGTAAGAAAAATTAATTTGTTTCAAAGGACCAAGCATCAACTTAGTTTGATAAGATTCTGTTTAATTCATTGCATGTACCTGTATAAACAGACTGAAGTTGATTTTGATACAATCAAAGACATTTAAAATTTGGCCTGAGAAATGATTACATCTCTGTAAAATAGAGCAGGATGATCATGAAAAAAAAAATATTTCATTGATGTTAATTCTGTTTTGTGCACCATTGTGTTAAGAAAGAAAAAAAATGTATAGACCAGTATTTTCTGGAAATTTAAAAAAAAATATATAACTTACTTTAAAAGTATTCAGAGCTGCTATAAGCATATTAGGACTGATTTGAATGTGTTTTTATATTTTGTCAGAAATAAGAAAAAGAACCCAGACTGGGATTATTTCAAGAAGCAGCATGAAGTCAAGGAGGAGGAGGAGGATGACGGTGAAGATGACGAGGATGGTGAAGATGAGAAAGACAATGAGGAGAAGAAGGTGGACAATAAGCAAAGCAGGGCAGAAAGAGAGAATGGTGTTAAAGGTAAGGATCCCTTCATTTTTTTATATATCATCAACTCTCAATGCAAGATCTGTAATAAAATGCAGACTTGGAATTCATTTCTTAAATGTATCCATTACTTTTTTTTTTTAATTAATTTTCAATTTTTAAAAAAAACTAAACCCTTAAAACTATTAAGTGTTTGTTGACATAGTTGGTTTACAATAAAAATGGACAAATCAGAATCTAGTCAGGACTCAAGAGCTTTCCTTGGCATAAATATCTCCAACTGACAATGCCACTCTTAAATCTCCAGATGAAACTGGTGGGGATAAAACTGGGGCCCCGCCCACCACTACAGTCACAGATGATTATGATGATGAGAACATTGACGACGCTGCGGCCTTAGCTAGAGCCAGCAGGACACCCAATGGTGGGGATGATGATGACGACGATGATGACAAACGAGGAGGCGCAGAGAGTGACGGGGGACTGGGAGACGATGAGGATGATGATGACAAAGGATTGGAGAGCTCTAGCAAGAGGAAGAAGATTGGGGCATCCCCTGATGGTGAGCAGGAAAGATTTTTTTAAAAATAATTTTTACACTTATAAATTAAAGTGAAAATGTGAAAACTGCAGTCAAGTTCAGATATCCCTTTTGTAGCAGTCACTTACTCCAGTGCCTCCACCATCACCTGTTACCTATAGCTGAATGTTGAATACATTAAAATGAGCAACAAGAGCCATAGACCATTCATTTATCTTTGTTTTGAGCTATTCTTTCCCCACTCACTCCACTTATTCCCTCGCTCTCTCCTGAGGTCCTTATTCCAAAGGCACACATGATATTCATGCACAGAAAATTATGCACAGACATAACTGCCCACACCGAAAAATACACACATTGCAAATTCCGCACACTGACAATTGTGGACACAGATGATGACACTGAGATTTTATTTTAAGCAAAATATTTAGTTAAAATGATTCAGTTCAGTTTGATATCAGAATAAACGGAAACTTTGGAAGAATGAAAGGAAATGTATAAATAAGTGAGACAATATGATAAGAAATGCATTTATAACAATTTTTTTTTAAATTTATATGCTGAAATATTTACTTATATAACTGAAAATTTTTTTGAAAACAAGTTTCTTGGGCCCATTGTCCTGTATTTATTAATTTGTGTAAGAAAAATATATTCAACAAATCTGTTGCAAAATAAAAGTTTGAATAGGTCTAGAATGAGTTTAGAAATTTCATTAAATCCTCCCTTGTTTTCACACAAGGTAGCTGGATGCCTTGCAAGTTGTACCCTGCCTCTCTTAACTCTAAATTGTGGAAATAAAATTCCATTTTTTTAGCCTCACAATCATCATTCATAGTATTCATAACCATAGATTCTGTTTTTAAACAAAAAAATTACTTGAGTGCATTGTTACGCAAATAGTACGTAAAAAAGGTAGGACTAAATAATTTTCATTGAAAAAAACTAAGGAACACATCTGAATGCTTACAAAATAAATTATAATAGTAATAGCCTTGAATTCTGCATAGTTTATATTATGATTGCTTGACTGAGTTTACCAAAAGAAAAACTATATTAATAATATAAGGAGTATAGGCTATTGGCATTGTTCTGTGCAAACGCAAATTTGACCATGCTAAAACACGTCTGAGAGAGCTGCATTGGCTGCCGGCCCGCGCTCGCATAGAGTAAAAAAATTGAAACTCTGTGCTACCGCTGCTTGCATGACCTGGCGCCGTCCTATTTCAAAGCGTTCATGACACCTTAATGTACCTACTAGATCACTCCGTACATCCAATAGTGGTAAACTCTGGATACCCCGTATCCGCCTTGAGACCTACGGAAGGTGCACTTTTGCTGGCCCAAGAACCTGTGAGCCCTTCCTGTCGCTCTCAGAAACAGCCAGACACTGCAGTCTTTCAAAACTAAGTTGAAAACTCATCTTTTTCGCACTCATCTGCTGGGGTGATGTAGTCTACCTCCTTGTTTCCAGCTCGCTCATATTCCTCGATGTGGAAAATATAAATTGTCATAAATGTTGACTTTGTATCGCACTTTGAGCCTTAATTTGGGATGAAGCGTGTTTTTGAAATGAACTTTATTATTATTAGTATTATCTGTAGGCTATAATCGGCCGCTAAAAAATAAAACTTAATAAAAGTAAAACAAATAAATCAGACAATACATCTTTAATTTTACGTCGTTTTGCTGATTATGATTATGACAATAAGTGAAATATTAATCTCTAAAATGGTATTACACTCTAATGTTGTCATTTTCTTCATCAGAAATATCCTTTAAAGGAGAATTACTATCTATTTTAAAAAACTTTTTGGTAGAGTTTTAAAACTTATCAGATATGAGGTTTCCCATTCTTTAATATTTTGTCTTTAAAATGATTATTTGCAGCCTTTCATAATTGCAAACTTGTCTATTATGATAACCAACTTCATTCTTTCAGCTCTTTAAATTTACATTGTAAAATTACATTGTGTGCACTTGTCAGTATTCTCAGTTGTCAATGTTCACTATTGTCTGCGTGTACAATTTTAGTTGTACACATTTCTTGACGTGGATAGTTTTTGTGTCTACAATTGTGTCTGCTGAGATTTCTATGCGCATTTAACATGTGCGATTTTGTCACGTTACCAATCTTTAGTTTAAAAAAATGTTATTTGTTGAGCACAGAAGTAAAAATGTCTTTGCAAACCATTTGTGTAAGTAATTAAATTTAATTTATGATTTGTTTAATATCATTTTTACATACTATTTTGCTCTGCTAAATTTCTGCTTGTACGTTGTCAGGTTTGTCACGGCGTGTACATGTTATAGACAACACTAGTGTCAAGTTTCAACAAAACTCCTACCACCACATGTTTGTGAAAAACACAGGACTTGTTATGAATAAACGAGGTCGAATAGCGCGCACAAATGCTGTGAGTATTTCATGAGTCGGCCATTTACATGAAGGACTCATTACAACACATTGTTTTGTTCTTATAAAATAAATATATCATGTCTCTAAAGTCAGATTAATAAATAAATAAATCTTTTTTTTTTTTAAAGAAATATGTGAATGAACTGAAATTCTTATGACATTCATCAAATCTTACATGTTGTAAATTATTATTTTCTAGTTAAAGCTCTATCTCAATAACAAAAATCAATTTTGGTTTTTGCAATGCGCATATATTACTTTTTTTTTTTTGTGTTTTTTTTTTAAAGAATCGAGGTGTGGCATACATTTTTATATTATGTAGAAATCAGACTTTTTATGATATCATTTTGTGAAATTACATGAAGCCTTGATTTTGATTAAAGTCATTAAAGCAATGGCTTAGTTCAAAAAGAAATATTCTCCTTGCCATCAGGAACCATACGTTTTAGTTACACTGTTAATTACATCGAGCTCTAATTGTTTACTATTTTTAAAACCGATTTCAGAGCCACAAGAAGGTAACACAGAAGAAGTACAAGAACATGCTGAACTGGACCGAGCCGTGGTTGACCAGAAATGTCTCACAAACTCAAGCTGAAGACTGTCGAAAGTGGCTGATGGGTTTGGCCACAGAGAGCAGATCCAACAATACATCTGTTTTAGAAATTGAACAGTACGACAAAACACCTTACAGGTTATTCAGAAAATATTCCGTGGATTGGGTGGCCCCTGGTTCAGGACGAACATCGCCGGCCTCAAACAATAATTAATTGTCAGCCTATATCATCTGATCCGGAATGTTGATTTGTAAATGATAAAAACATATTTTAATATAAAATAGTTATACTGTAAATTATTATTTGTCTATGGAGTCAATTACATTGCCCGAATGTACTCAGTTTACTTTGTAATGACCTGAATTTTGCACCATAACTGGTGATGTCAAATATTTAATATTTATGAAGTCAATTTGGTCCCATTAGCAGACTGCAAAAAAAATAAATAGACAGCTAATAGTTCAAGTCCCAAGGATCAATTAACTCCCAATTCCTATTTTGAAATTTAATGGTCCCCAACACCCCCCACCCCCCTTCCCAATCAGTTGTTGATTTAAATCAAATGACTGACGCAAAAAAAAAGTTGTGCACCAAATTGGCTTCCGGTGGCTCATAGATCAACTCCACTGTTGTTGCATTAACACTGTACTTATTGGTCTGATTTTTTTCTTTTTTATTGTAAATATTTGAAAATTATGTTAGTCCATTTATGAATGAATAACAAAATGCTATTAGGAGCAACTGTATGTACAAAAAAAATTCTCATTGCTTCTGTTTAAATTTTGTTAACGCCACATCCTCTTCAAAAAAAACATTATAGAATTTTGTTTATTTCACTAAAATTTTAAATATCCATTTGTTTATATGCGCCCTGGTCTGTAGTGTTACAATATAAGTGCATTTTATATACAAAGTATCATATAAATTCAGCTGTTTCGGTTAAACTGTTAAATTCTTTGTTGTTTAGAATGTACAAAAATTATAAATATTGTGAATTTCAAAAAGTCTTATGTAAAGATGTCAACATGAAAGTAATATTTCCACATACACTATATATAAAGCTTTTTGTGTCTTTTTTTTTTTTTTTTTATTACATTAGAATTAGTCACTGAAAGAAAAATAAATAAAATGATGTCAAAAAAAAAAAAATTAAATTGTTCTTTGTTGCCTTGTGCCCAAAGTTAGCTTAATTTTTTACCCTTCAAATTTTTTTTTTTTTTTTTTTTTTTTTATTACATTAGAATTAGTCACTGAAAGAAAAATGAATAAAATGATGTCCAAAAAAAAACAATTGAATTGTTCTTTGTTGCCTTGTGCCCATAGTTAGCTTAATTTTTTACCCTTCAAGAGTTGTTTATGCAATGATGTGACAAGTTATGCCCGAAGTCCATGTTGAATGATCTGTATAATAAATACCAAAACCTTTCACTGTGTTTAGTGACAACAGAAATTGAAGCTTTATGTCAAAGAAGAAAAAAAAAAATTCAATGACAGCAAAGAAGAAACATCAAATAAGCATTTCAAACTACTTGATTTGTTTGATCAATGTAAAGTCATGTAATGTTCAGCATATATCAAGAAATCACTCAGTTCTTTTTCAACTATACATTTATCACAAGTTGGTGCAAATTTAAAAAAAATATGTTTGAACCATAAATGTTTGAAGAATAAATTCCTTATATATTTCAGAATTTATTAGATTTATATGAAGTGACAAAAACAGTTACAAACTTTTGCATAATTCTTATCAAATCTAATTGGGCAAGTTACATTAACTGCATTTTATTTTAAATCAATAAGTTACTTAAATTTAGAAACTGGAGCAATGACTATAGGTATCAAATTAATAATTTAATATTTGTACATCAAAACGCAGAAAAGCTAATAATCCAATTTAATACATCTTTTAAACTGAAGGTGTGGGCTGCTCTGGTTGTCATTCATTTAACAAGGCTGTGAATATCAAATCCATATTGTCCGCCAATTCACCCAGAATGTTGTAAACCTAGGAGGGAATAAAAAAGAGAGGCAAATAAGTCACTTTCCTATACAAATTAATTATGGCATTAATTTTGTGCAATTATTTCATTTTTATTAAATGTATAAACTGATATTATTATATAAAGGACCATTTAGGTGTCCTATATAATGAAGAGATAACAAACCTGTTAAGACATACACAACAAACCAGTGCAGACAGACATAAACAGCCAGCCTGTAGAGACGCAACCAACCTGTAGGGGCATAACTAACCTGTATAGTGAATGTGTCCTTATATAACTGCTCAGCAGCAGCAATCTCTGGGTCTACAACGATCACATCAACTGTACTGTCTGTGCTAGGCTGCTCTGGGACTTGGTCTGCACTGACTTCAGCTTGACCTCCTGATGGTGGCGGTGGAGTGATTTTGACTGGTGTTGTTGCTTTCTTAGGAGGAGGTGGAGCAGGAGATGGTGGAATTTTTCCTTTAGGATCTGGTTTACCTGTCTGAAGTATGCCATAATGAAAATACAATTGAATTTTTAAGAATTCAACTAGCAGAACCTTAAATTGAATCTTGTGTAATGATTTGAGATAACAAATGGCACCGTGCTGAACAGAACATTTAATTTTATTCAAAAATAACGAATTCTCATTACCACCTTCTTTCAGATTGTCTGCAAAAACAAAATTGATGGGTGCAAATGTCTTCATAACAATCATATAAGAGATTGATTGTTAGGACTTTGAAAATAATTTGATGAAAAAAATCGAATAAGTTTTTAAGTGTCTCTCTATATATATATATTTATATATTTATATATATATATATATATATATGCTATCAAGGAAATGAAGATTAATTACCATTGTTAGGACTTTGAAAATAATTTTATGAAAAAAATCGAATAATTTTTTAAGTGTCTCTCTATATATATATATTTATATATTTATATATATATATATATATATATGCTATCAAGGAAATGAAGATTAATTACCAAAGCTAAGACATCTTGCATTTGCTTAACCAATAAGTTGCCAGGAAATTAAGATGATACTCCGACCAATTGTTTAATTAAAGCAGTTATGATCTCATTCTTGTAACTTAATAATGCAAATTGTTTTTCTGCCCAAAAAACTAGCAACTTTCCAATTATGCCATTTCAATAAAAGGAATGTAATCTTATCATTAAAAGACACAATAAAAGATAGCATGTAAAGGTAGATGTACATTTCCTAATAAAAGAACACACTGACTCCTTTTGCTCCACTTACAGGTGTTTTAGAAACTTTGCCATCAGATTTAGCAGGTGCTTTCCCTTGAGCACCCTTCCCAGTGTCACCTCTACTTTTGTTTCCTCTTCGATTGTCATCTTTCATTAAAAAAAAAAAAAGATTCAAATTTATTTCAAACATCTTCCCAAAATTTTGTTTATTACCATACTACCTGATAAAATATGATGACTGTACTAATAAACATTGAAATTAAAGAAAGTTAAACATTACTCATTCGTAACTTGACATGATATTTAAAAAAATTATTTTATATAGTTTGTCTTATTTTTGCTTTTCAATTAAAAAAACAACACATTAAATTATTCCAAATGATTTCAAATATGAAAGGACAATTTCCCTTAAAAAATTTCCTCCTGAGCATCGTCAGTACTGGAAATATATTTGTAAATTTTTATGGTAATTCTATTTAAATTCACTTTGGTTTTACATTATTGACTTACACCATCAAATTTATTTTATGTGTGTTCATTACATCAACATTTTAAGAAACAAAATTCATTATTAATGAAGGTAAATGAAATAAAAAAATCAATTTTAACTAGCGTCAATTTCATGGTTAGAGATTTGCAAAAAATGTTACTGAAATTTAAAATGTTTGTTTTAAGATGAAACATACTTTTCACCCAAGTCAACTTTTACATCATTGACTGTAATGTTAAAAGAGCAAATTAAATTTAAGCCCAACACATATTAAAACTATAGCAACATAATTAGTTGGGATGTATTCATATTCATATTGAAGATTTTCATTTCCCAAAAAATGCATCTCACATAATACCACGTAAAAATAATTTTAAAATTGTAACAGGTAATTTTTATACTTCAAACAATAATGCAATGCAATTTCATAATTAACTTTTCATGTGATATAACCCCACTACTCCTTACAACAAAGAATTCAAGAAAATGAAAATAACTTTTTAAAAAATAGTTGAATTGGAAGTAAGGGCAACAATAAGTGAATTCTAATTTACCTCCCTTGTGCGGTAACTAGCTGAAAGGAGTTACCGAGGGACAATCTTGAGATCATTACAAACAGAATGTATTTTGTAAGTTTTTTTTTCTTATGTTTTGTTATCAACCTCAAAAGAGTTTGAATTATAAAACACATTGAAATTTTTAACTGTTTTTGATGTCAATAAACAGAGAACAAAGGATAACACAATGTTTGGAAAAAAGTGTACCAAAAAAAAACAGGACAGTCAAAGAATGAAGACTGGGGGTGCAACTGTTTTCACTATCGCTTATATATCTGTACGAAAGATATGAATGTGTCATTGGAGAAAATAAACATAACTTTTGCTGCAAGTGCAAGTCAACTCCAAGGCAATCCTGGCATCAAACGAAAACCCTCCATTAAAAACTGTATGGTGAATTGAGAAACCTCTGGGGGAAACAGATGGTCTCCCTTGGTAGCAATGAGGTAGAAGAAGAGCAAGGGGGAAACAGATGGTCTGCCTTGGTAGCAATGAGGTAGAAGAAGAGCAAGGGGGAAACAGATGGTCTGTCTTGGTAGCAATGAGGTAGAAGAAGAGCAAGGGGGAAACAGATGGTCTGCCTTGGTAGCAATGAGGTAGAAGAAGAGCAAGGGGGAAACAGATGGTCTCCCTTGGTAGCAATGAGGTAGAAGAAGAGCAATAGAGGGTAGGGAATAAAAAACCACACATGTGCATGCCAAACAACAGTAAAAATTAAAGTCATGTTGCCTCTTGTTTTGTTATTTGCTTGATGAATTGTTCAAGGAACACAACACATATGTGATAAAATAATAGTTTAGTAATTAGACCAGTAAATAAGCATACTGAAAAGAAAAATGGGGTACATTATGCTTTCTTAATATATATATATAATATGTCATTAATAACAATTATTTAAGAAAAACACAATTGGTTCACCACAGAGATATCATATTTTTTTGTTAAAAAACCAAATCATTATTAAAATTATGTTTGAATATTTAAACTCAAAACTTACAGGGTCTTAGCCTTTCTGTTTAAAAGATACACATTAATTTTTAAATGTTATTAGTTATTAGAGTTTCTGCAATTTCTACAAGCCTATTTTTTTTCTATAAATAAATATGAATATTATGAACAAGATAACAGTATAGTTGTTAAAACCATATCTTGAATGTTAGTAAATGAAAATTCAATTTATTAGATGATTTATAAACTAAGGCTGTGGATGAAATTTGGCTTAAAATGATGCTAAATTAAGGTAAAGTTTATCTCAATGTTAAATGTATTGAAAAGGCTGCATTAAAATTAGTCTAATTATCACTACATAAAAAAGTTATCTGCTAAAAAGGAAGACTGTTATTTTAATCTCAATATAAAATCTATGTTATAAATTGTTATACAAGAGAATGGGACAACAAATTAAACTGAAAAAAGGGTTATTTCATTATATTAAAATAGTCTATTTCTGAGCTAGTTATCTCATCTTTACCAGCAGGTGGCATCACAATATCTTCATGAATTAGGTCTGTATTATTTTCACCTTGCTTGCCAATTACTTTGTAATGAAAAATATTCTGCTCATGATGCTGAATTTTTCGTGAATCACAAGTCAAGCATTTTTACAACTAATTTAATGACAAAAATGCACTACTGGTACTAAAATATTAGACATTAATTTGGAAATTTAAACTTTGATTTTATTAAAACTCCTTTAAAATATTAGAACCCTTTGTGAATATATAGGTATCTTACAAATTAATCCATATTATGGAAATAGCACTTTAAAGTAAAAAAAAGTCCAAATACCAAATTTTTTTTCAGGGCAGGAGTGGACTTATCCAAACTATTTAGCTGCTCTATGTACCTGTTATCTGGCCTCATTCAAAATTTGATTTCTCTATTGTATACATGAATATGGGTTTATATATTAATTTATTTCTTGCTTGTACTTACTTGCATCCTTGTCAAAGTCATCTTGGTCCCTCACTGGCAAGCCCATGGTGTGCCTAATAAGGAAGGACTCCCCAACGATGCAGTCAATTGCTTCCAAGAAAAGTTGATAACTGTGAGGTTGAATGATTGGTAAACAATGATAAATTAGGTTGAGATGTAACAAGTGTAATGACAAAGAATTATTGTACTTTTTTAAGCTTAAATAGTTTTATTTCCATTGTCTCAATTTCAGCCAGGATGTGGCCAAAAAAATATTTTAACTTTTTTTTCTTTCTTTTTTTAAATCACTAAGTATTACACACACACACATATATATATATATATATATATGTATATATATATATATATATTATATATAAGGGTGTGACTGGATTAAAACAATCAGTTAATGAGATGTTATGATATATTGTGAATTTACCCCTTGCAATACATCTGTTGGGGCAGGAGTTTTGGAGGAATGCAGGTCAGTTTAGCAACTATTGTATTCATCTGCTGCAATAAGTTATCCCTCTTGTCATCATCTTCCAACTCCATAATGCTCTATGGGAGATAACAAGAAAGTTTGTACAGATAGTTATTTTTTTCATGATTTCATTGAGGAAAATGCTGTTATCTTCCACTGACATTATTAAAACATTAGTTACAATCGGATCATCTAAAGTTTTAATGAATATATTGTTGTGCATTTCACATTGGATTTTCCAGTTCAAAATTCTTTAAAGATAATGCAGGCCCACCCTACTTGATGGTGACAGAACTATCTAATGCTATCACATAAAAATGAACTGTTCATTGAAAGCACAATACATCCACTGTCAAGTAAATAAAAGGTTCTTTGAGAAAAACAGAAATCCCCCATTATTATTATTGTGGCTTAGATTAGTGAACTTGGCTGATAATTAAAAATCTGTATGTCTCACAGTTTATCTATTATTCTGCCCAAAAAAAAGTTAGACAACTGTTTGGATAATTTGAAACAATACTGTAAATCTTCTACTGAATGTCACAATTTCTAACCCTGGCTGTGGTACTGAGTGCTTATAAGTATAATGATTGACAGTCACCTCATAATTTCATGGTGGTTACTGAACTGTTTAAAAACATTTCTTTTTTTTTAAATAAAAATTATACACATAACAAATTGGAGTAAATAACTATCTTTGTTGAAATAAATAATACTGACCTCATGTAGGTCCTCAATACTCAAGCTCCAAACATTCTCAACTCTTTCATTCTCATCAAAAAGTTGTCCATGCAAATCTTTGAGTTGAGAGACGAGTTCATGGGCAAATTGAAACTGTTGAATGGACGTGGAACAAATAACTCAACGCACTATTTAAAAGGAGTTACATTTTTTGGGGTTTCTTTGTTTGCTATGGAATGAAAGTTATCTACCTGTTATATTATAATACAACCATATAATCTGGAAATTTCTTAGAAAATATCTATCTACCTGTGGGTTATTGCGATTAAATATTTCTTCTTCTGTGATGTAGGCATCGATTGGTGATCTTGAGCGCTCCGGAGTTCTAATGCCTTTGACGAGATCAAGCAGAAGTTCTGATACAATCTGTTTGGATTGCCTCTCAGCAAGATCTTTCTGTAAATCAATATTACAAAAAAATATTTACACACTCTTGGTGTATTTCATCTGATTAATTCTTTTATTTACCTGAAGTATATTGGCGTACAGTCAAGATTTAAAAATGTTCCTAAAAACAAAATAATTATGATAAACTTGTATGAAAAAAATAACTTTCAAATTATCTTTTCATGTTTTTAAAAACCACTCAGAGTAAGAAAACAACAATATGTATGTAATGAAAATTAACCCTTTAATTTACATGTATTTTACATACGTATTGTTATAAACATCTGTGTCATAAAATTGCTCAAAAGGTTTTAAGATAAAATACCTCCAACTTTTCCCTCTGCTGTTTAAATTTATCCTCTTGCACTGCAACTCCCCTTAAGGTTACAAGCAGGGCAGCGCCTCCACACAGAATTGGACGCGTCTCTGGGAAATAAATTATAGGAGAATTTAACCCCCAAAAAATATGATATCTTAACCAAAACAAACATGAAAGGTCTAATAGGTCCCTAGAAAACTATCTGTTATATTATAACTATCTGTTTTAATGTTAATGTATTTATTTATTGTAAGATATGTTAAGATAAGATTCTTTTACTGATCCAAATAAATGGAAATGTTTTTTTCTTACATTGTACACAATCATTTTCAGCACATAAATAAATACATATATTAACATGGACAAGATTTTACAATTATAACAATTTAAACAAAATTATTTCTCTAGTGTTGAGATCAGCCAATCAGTGAACTCTGTAAGCAACACTATTGACTTAAGTAGTGGTCATTTAGATTTGGTAACCACTGGGGGAACATGCTGGTAAATTCATACAGACTTGGGAACAAAACAATCGACTGAGGTAAAATAAAAAGATTGAGACAAATTAAAACTGGTCTCACTTGAAAGTTAGATGGCACTTAAAAGAAGAGCTAGCCAATAACTCACCCATCTTCCATTGCTCTGTGTAGACCCCAGGTGTGGGAGATTTGAAAACATAAGGAAATTTGATTGTCTCGCCAGGCAGGATGACACCTGAGATCAGAGATACAGCACAGAAATTATTTACATTTAAACAGGAAAAGTAAAAATATCAGTGGCTTTTCATTTTTTAAATATGTTTTTTTTTGGTGATGATGTATTTATGTAACCAAGTCTAATTTGTTATTTAATGTTTACAGATAGGCCTAAATGATTTTAAAGAAGAGGGATTACTAAAGAAAGAATTTTCTCACCTGGGGCACTATTGAAGTAAAATCTCTGCACATCGTTCTTTACAACCTCAAATGGATTATCTTTGCCAACTTTCTAATGTGACCAGTAACAATAGAAAAATAGAAAGGCATTAATTGAAACTGCTTGGCTTGAAGTCGCTGTTTGACATAACACATAAGGTTACTACTAAACTCATTGTGCTTCGCTTAATAACAATACTACTCCGACCACATAGTGTATTATTATATCAATTGGCAATGGTATTGAATAAACGCCCCCAAAAAAATGGACAACTTGCTACATGGATCAGTGTCTCATTGAGTAGTTACATTTTTGTTAAAAACAATTTGACCATATACCTAAAAGAAGCGCAACTAATCTTAAACATGATAAGTATCAACATTAATAAATAAATATGTTGCTTGAGTTTAGCTTGACAGATGTTTAAAAGTATAGCACAAACCTTCCAGTCAAAGTAAATAGCTGTTGTCCCATTGTTGACAAACTGGAGATGAGAGGTTATCCTGTCCCCAGTGAAAGCTTCAAAGGTAACTCTGGACTCCATGGCAACCTGTAAGAGTGAACATTGTTTTGTTTATTTTTGTAATGATACACTCTAAATTAAGTCACCTTGGAAGATTTACTTGGACTTTGCTACTGTTTATTTGTATTACATCAAATCTTTTGTTATTTTGAGGATTCAAAGAAGATAAAGACCAGCCCTGTTGGCGTGCAAAGGCAAGTAAAGATTGTAACCAGCTCTAATATGTGATATAACTCATTTATATAGTTTAAACACTTGTCTGATGAATGGGAACATTAAAAAAAAGTGATTTCTCAAATCTTTCAAAAGCCATCATAAATAATATTACGGATAAGTCTATTAAGTTGTAACTAGCTAACACAGTGAAACAGTTTAATGTCATTGCTGGTATTATTACTCGCTAAACAAAAGTTGACAGCATGACTGTTGCATTTTCATGCAGCAAATTCCTACTTGATTTTTGTGAGAGAAACCATCTCCTGTCCACCTTGCTTGCTGCCCACCAAACAACATAGCTGGACCGAAAATGGGCTCATTAATTGGCTCTTGCATGATGGGACTACCAGAACCCCTGAAAAAAAGATACAAGTAAGATTAATTATTTTTTACAAAACAAATGTAGGGTGAAACTTTAATTTATAAAAATTAAATTCTTTAAGTAAATTTTGTAAAAATGACTTAATAATTTAAAAATTATTTCAGAAAATGAGCAAGCGGAAAAACAAGGCACATAAAATGTGCATGAAAATGTTTTAAAATATTTTTGATCAAGAACGAGTTGTGAATAGCAACAGCTCTAGAAATAAGTGTTACTGATGTAATTTATGATTAGTCCCATTTATTTTACAAATTTTGGTATTGTAGCACGGCTGTCACAAAGATATCCCAAAATCTTTACTTGTTCCTCATAATTTAAGTACATTAATACCTGCTACATGCTTTCCAGTTGATACTGTTTTACACAAAAAAAACAAAAAAATCCATGTTTTTCAAACTTTGTTCATTGATGTAAGTCATATCACATACACAACTAAGCAAGAAACTAATAGTTTACTAATTGAAGTTACAGTTCACATTTCTTACTCTTTATTGGTTCTCCCATCTCCTTCCAATCCCATCTGGTTATCGCCAAGGTCAACCCCAAATCCATCCAAATAAGCATCAAATTCCTCCTCTTCTTTTTTCCTGTCTTTCTCATCAGATTTTTCTTCAGTTTTATTTGTACCAATGACTTGCAAATTGTCAAAATCCTGGAACATTGTGAGCAGTTTTATTTCAAAATAGATATCACTGACATCAACAGCTTTAGATCAAGCTCACAAATTAGTGTTGAGACTGTGCTTAAATTATTATAAACGAAAGTCTAAGAAGTTCCACTGGAACCATAAATTGCTGGGTGGCCGAGCGGTCTAAACTGTCTCTAACCAAATAGTTGGTGGTCTGGAGTTCAATCCCCACCAAAGCCAACATCCCAAGCACCCCGGGTGGATGGGACTCGTAAGCCCTGGGCGGCAACCCATCTAAGAGAAGGCAAACACTGAATTTAAACCAGGAGCCAGAATGATCAATACATTGATCGTGGGCCCCTCAAATAGAAGAAGAAGAAGGTAACTGACTGAAATGTACTTAATTTTGTAAGTTTCCATGAACATTAGTGAACATCCATATAATTACAACACATATCAAGCTTACTGACACAGAATTTCTCAGTGCTTACATATCCTAAATCATTCACAAGACACAACTGACACAAGACAGCAAGTCAACTGTCAAACTGAATGTCAAAACAAGACACTTTCTCATACTGGCACATTACAAGACACCAGTCAAACTGACACATGACAACAAGACAGCTGTCAAACTGACACAACAAGACACCAGTCAAACTGACACATGACAAGGCACCAATCAAACTGATATGTCAAAACAAGACACCTGTCAAACCGACACATGATGACAAGGCACCGGTCAAACTGACATATGACAAGACACCCAACACATGAAAGAGGACACCAGTCATACTGTCGCGTGACACCTGCCCTGCTGAGACTCACTGGTTTCCATGGATCCATTTCCTCTATGTAAGGCTGCAGCTGTTTCAATCTCTGGTTGAGGAAGTCAGACTTGTGCCAGGGATAGTTGACGTGAGCATTTCCTTTACCAATCCACTCACAACCTGCCAGTTTGAATTTTATTAATAGACACGCACACAAGTGCACCAGCTGACAATGTTAATGCAGTATATTCTCTTGTATAGAACCCCAAATAAATAAATATACAACAAAGTCAAGCTCATTGTGAAAACACCGTTATCAAGGAATGATAATAAATATTATGGATTAAAAAGGACAATTTTGATTGAAATATGTTGCTTTAATGATATAACAGTTCACCTTTTTCTTCTTTGATTAATGTAGGAAGTCCAACATGCTCCACAGGAGGGGGATAACCTTTCTGAGTTTGTGTCAAGGACATGCTAAAATATTCAAATATGTGACATTTTTTATTAATGAAAATTGTTAATCATGACATTTTTATTATTGATTTTAACATTATTATTCGATAGCTAGGGGCACATAATAAAATTTTCTTTTTATTTTTTTTTCAAATGTAGCTGAAAGCTTAGAGTAAAAGTATTTAAGTAGTAAAAGTTTACATACAAATGTGTAGATATTTAAATGAATTGAATTTTTTCTAGCCTGAATGTGACCTTTAAGTGACCATCTCCAATGCTAACTTACTGTATTCCAAACAGATCGTCTCCAAGCTGCCTTTGTTGATTCCAAAACTCACTACCAACACGATCTGAAATGTTTGTTAACACCATATTTAATTGCAATATTTTCTGCAATTTAAACTTTAATCCTCTTAGCCGGGTTTATCATCCAGAGATTGTCCAATTTAAACACTGGGAATAGCAAAACCTTAAATCCAAGGTAAGAAGAATTCTAAATAAATGAATCTGCTATTAATATATAACTGTTAAATGTAAAAGAACAACATTAATCTACTATTATTCATCATCATTCCAAAAACATTCTCTCACCACATTGTTCCAAAAATATTCCTCTGTTCACTAAAAAAAAATCACATACACTTTATATTCCTGTTTTTCACCCTTCAACCAATTACCGGTCAGGCATGGTGGACTCAAATTCATGATAACAACAACACAAAATACTCTCTCTCTCACAAACCTAAACAAATATAAAAGAAATAAACAGCAACAAAAACCACACAACGTAATCTGACTGTGACACCAATCAGACTTACAGCCTTTGCCATAGTCAACTTTTGGAATTGTCCTGTCAATGAGGTAGCGTTGTTCCTGGACCGCCCTGAAGTTGTCTGCCTGGTTCATGGCAAGCTGGTCTAAAGGCTTCTGAAGAAGATCTAGACAAAAATTATCCTTTTTAATTTACAACTGATTTTATAAAACATTTGCTTACCAAATGAGCAAAGACATGCACGGCTCATTAATAACACATCTGGGACAAAAGATAATAATTTAATGAGGTTAAACTATACAAAAACTCAAAAACAAATGAATGATATTGACAAATAAAAGACACTGTCCATCAAAGTGTAGGACAGAACTTCAGATACTCACTAGAGATGTAGCCTTGTTGCCTCTTCCGTTCCATCATTTTAATATTCCAGTTCCTTAAGGCATTGCTCTCATCCTGGCTCAGTCTGATTGGCTGCTTCTTCTTTTCATACTTGACTGATGGAGTGTCTGTTCTATCTTCATCTTTCGAGGTTGGTAAATCCTATGTTTATTAACAAATTATACACAAATTAAATAGCTCACTTTTTTATTTCGTCGTTACTTAGTGGTGTATTAGTTTATAAATACAAGTTAGCTTGATCATGCAGCTGATGTTCACATGGGTTTGCCAGTTTTATGGTGAGAAAGGATCTGGTGTCTGGGAAATGGGTCATGCTCTACATATCACACCTCCAGGTCCTAGGGGATTCACCACTTCCACTGTTATACAGGTGAAACTGGTGGAAGATTATCAGATAGATTCACTGAAAACCTTCATGATATTAAACAGGGTAAACTTTCCCTGGTCCCATTTCAATGGAAATAAACATGAAGTGACATTAGATATATCTATCACATCACTGATTTCCTGTACCAATACACTAGAGAAGGTTAGAAAGGAAAATAAATTAATTCAGGTTTTAAGCACAATATCCCCAAATTAATTAAATCTTATCTTACTAATGATTCTCAATTTCCCATTTTTTTTTGTACTTTCTTATATTTTATATGTCTCCAAAATATTTTTGTATGTTTAGATCTTATTTTTCCACAGTAATGATACATTAATTCTTTCACTTCCTGTAATCTTGGTTTTAGAAAATCCAATTTCAGGCAATTGCAATGGCGATCACTTCAGTTTTTAACGAGTTTCTATTTATTGTGGTATTTTTATTTGTCATGTCTGTTGAAGAAGGCTCTTAGCTGAAATGTTATTGTCTTACTGTCCCGTCTTTTGATTCAAGTTTCCACATACCTTGTCCTACTATTGTTGCCACCTCCAGCTTTATCAAGACAGACAGATGCCCGAATAATTGATGAGGATATAGACCTATGTTTTATTTAGGTTGATTGTTTTCAAAACAGCGATTGCTTATTTAATGACCATGTTTACAATTATGGTTATATTCACATTTCATATTGTCATAGGAATGCTAAATATTGAATATAGTGCATATTTGAAATCTCCAGTTTAAGACAAAACAATTTATATTTTGATTAAAAAACATTCATCAGAAAACAGCCATTTGAATGATTTACCTCAAGCAGATCTCCCCTTTGAACTGCTTCTTTGTGAAAATCCTCGTACTTCCCAAGAATGCTGTAAGGTATTACGTCTCCTTTCTCATCGTATCTTGGCCCAGCATAGCCTGTAATTGATTTAGACAGAAAATTTAAAATTGGGATCTTGAAGGTTAAAAGTGAAACAAGCTTTACATTGGATTATATGAAATGACACACTTATTGTGTGAGCAAAAAAAAAAGAAAACTAAATTGTTTTACAACTAGACATTCATAATATCATTATTAACTCCACTGTCACCTGCATAGTCTTTAACACTGGATGGATGATTTTGTTCAGGCTTTGGTGGGCTGGCTCTGAAAGAGAGTAGAGGAGATTTTTAGAGTTTATGGACAAGGAAACCTGAATACATTATAACTAACAGTCTTGCATGGCTCAGAATGAGTCTGTCATGTGTAATGATATGGTGATAAGATATGAAAAAGAATATTTATAGTGGTGCAATTGATGTGCAACATCAATATAACCTTATCCAATCATTTTTTTTAAAATCCTTATATTTATGTTGATAATTTTTTATAGACACATTGAAATTTAAAAAAAAAACAAAAAAAATAAATAATACTTTGTGTCTATAATAAAAATACAAAGCCAACACTTAATTTTGTTAACAATGTATTTTCAGTTTTAAAAAAATCATAATATATATTTATAACGGAAATAAAACTTAATATTTACATTTTTTCTTGCTCTGGTATTTTCTTGGCTTTTTTAACAGGAACTCTTTTGATACCCATTTTCTTTTCTTCTGAAGGGGGATGTGGGGGTTGGATCTTTGGAAAAATTTTTAGAAATACATTTTTAAATATTTAAAACAATTTACAAGTTTTTATTTTTGGTTTTATAAAATTATGACTTACAATAATTGATAACTGATGTCATGCTGTTGTTGCAGATTATTTTGGCATAATGCCTATCCCCACATTGCAAATTTGTAAAAAGAAAAATAGTCATCAACATCACACATAATCGCGAATTTGTGACCCCCCCATCCCCAATCACACTAGATGTATGACATCAGTTATGGATGACCCATTAACAAAAACAACCTTCAAAAAAAAATATATATATTTTAACAGGTAAATTAAAATTTTTCTCATGATAAAATTAATATTTGTCTGTGAGTAGACTTGACTTCAAAAACTATATTCCCTTTGTCAGCAGAACATATTAGAAGATCATCTTTTCATAGGGCACTTGAATTAAGTTAGAAAATTAAAGCAAGTGTAGAAAATATTTATTTTTTTAAACCTTCTTTTCCAATAAAATTTATAGTACCTTGACTAAGTCATCTTGTTTTATCTGAAACTTTGCAATCTCATCATTCCAAATTTTGGTGGTTCCAAGCCTGTCTTCCGGCTCATGTGATGGTGTGGTCGATACCTCACGAGTTCCATCTGTTTTTCCTTTTTTAAAACGTTCTGGAAATATTGATCAATTTTTTGTTACAATCAGCATTATTATTTCTCCCCCACCTCTAAGACGTCACTCATTTAGATTGACCTACCCCAACTTTTTTTGAAGATTATGTAAAGGAGCATTTGTTTTGTGAATATTTTAATAAGCATAATTATATAAGTGGAAAAAAAAATAATAATTCAAGCGAAATTTTAAAATAATAATAAATAAATAAAGTTCTTTACTGCATCCATCTAAATGCAGTTAATAAAACTTTTAATTTTCATGCCAGATGTATGTCTGAGTTTATGAGTTGGCCAGATAAGTTTATAAAGAAAACAAATGATTATCAGAAAGGTGTGGAGTCTACAGATTGTAACAAAGTTTTTTGGAAGTCTGAAAAATTAGCTCTTACGGACAGATGCCACAATAGACATTCGCCTTGCTCCCCGCCCAGGTGTGGGGGCCACTGGCTGTTGTTTCTGGGTCACTCCTTTAGCTGACATTACTTTTTAAATGATTTTGGCTGGATATCTAATACATGTAGTTTTAATTTCCTTTTTATTCATAGAGTCAATGACTTTCCTTATCATTAACAGACAAAATATTTCTGAAGTGAACACAGTAAAATACTCAGGCTACACCAACAAAAAGCTTGAAATAAAAATTTTAATACAGTGGGTAAAAATAATCATACTTTGTCAGATACAGCTTAGTACATATATTAATATTTAAAAAAATAATAATAATAGAAATATTTGTTAAAAAGTAAAGTGTCTACCAAATGTTTAAAGTTTTCCTATTCTAAAAATAAGTTTAAATTAAATACTTTCAACTCATTTTTTCCACAGGAATTTTTTTTCTTTTTAAAACTCTGTAAACAAACTTCTTCAGTTTTTGTGTCCAGACTAATAACTCTGTTTAACTCTCTAATATCCCACTTATTTCCAATACAACTTCAGTTATAAATGAATGATAGTAAATAAATTCTAATAGGCAGGGAAACAGGTAAGGTTATTATGATTATCTAGGATCAACAGGTGCCAATAAGAAGTAATTATGACATGATAAGGGGGCCATTTTGGTTGTTTTTTTTAACCCTCCCCACACAGAAAAGTAAGGGACGGATCAGCCATAAATTTAGATAACCAAAAAAAACACTTTATAGTCAATATCTGTTGTACTGGGCAAAAGAGATAGAACCATGGAAACAGAGTCGTTCTGTGACTTTTTGATGTCCCCTGCCACTATTCAGCGCAATTTATTATACTTTCCATAAACTTTGGGCCCTGCAGCTTCAGGGGTTACCGAGCCCACACGAAGCCTCTGCCTGGAACACATTATGGAGAATGGACCTCAATGGAAAATGTGAACAAAAGGCAAGAAGTGGAATAAGCTGGAGAGAATAATGAGTAATTTTGATCCAAAAAAAGACGAAATTATATTTTAGAAAAGAATTATATGTAGGTATAATTATATTTTTAAAAAAAGAAGAAGAAACTTTGGTGTTAGTCAGAGAGATGCTTCAAAAATAAGATCTAAATTAAGTTTGTGACAAACCTATGATTTTTTACTCTCACCTTAGGACAAAACACACACCCAACTATCTTTTTAGATCATGAATAATACAGGGTATCAGTTATTTAAAACATCAGGCAAAAAATATTACTTAACATACAACGGGGCTAATCACAAAATTAGGTATAATCATCTACTCTATTAGTATTAATTATACTCTATAATCCTTTGATATATATAACAATTATATCAGAAAGCACTTTTTAAGATTCACAATACTTTTAAAAAACAATTTCTCATGTTCAAAATACAAAATACTTGTTGCAGTGAATAAGTTTTGCAATATCAATAACTGTTGAAAAGTTGTCAGCTAAAGACAACCTCTCTTGCTGATCAACTAAACAGGCACAAGAAAGACAAGCTACACACATACTAAATAGTGATAGGCTTAAATAAACTGATCGAAAGTTACTGGGCAACATTCAAGTCAATAACTGATCAATACTTGCTAACAGGCCAATGTTGTCAATATAAAATTCTTACATGTGTGTTATTGATTACCGGATAATCCTTTCTATAGTCCAGTGTGACCACTCCACAGTCAGTCGCCTACACTTCTACAACTGCCAATAGTACAAGTCAGAGCTGAGTAGGCCAAATTATTGGAGAAAGTACATGGACTGAAGTAGTGAAGTCTTTGGGTGTGATTGAAATAAATCAATAGTGAATAGCCAAATATTTTAATAGTGCCAATGTTTATTGTGAAGCATGTATTTTTAAAAAGCAAATTTTATGATAGCTGTCTCAGTATCAGTAATGATGAAATGGCTTTAAATTATTTATTAGCTTGAAGTTGAATGTGTAAAAAATCATGTTTATTTGTGGAGAGTCTAGTTCCTTTGTGAAGTGTAGTTCATTTGTGGAGCATCTAGTTTGTTTGTGGTGAGTCTAGTTCTTTTATGAAGAGTATAGTTTTTTTCTGGAGAGTCTAGTTAGTTTGTGGTGAGTCTAGGTCATTTGTGGAGTCTAATTATTATAATGTGTGATATCACACATGTCTTTTTTACGTTTCTTTTTTATCATACTTGTAAAACCTTAAATTGATAGTGATGTTGAACTTTCTGTTGTGATGGATGATTTCTGACAGAAGATGACGTCACTTTTATTAATTTCTTAAACAGTGAAGTGTGTTTTAGATTAAGTTTTAATTAGTTTCTAATTTTTTAACAAAATGTTGAACTTGAACGTGTGACATACTTTGTGGGGATGGGGGTCTAAGGTTTGTGACAGGGGGAGGGAGGGGATAAAAATTTTTCCAAAAATAGTGTGACATACTTTATGGACAGCCCCTAACACATATAAATACATAGAAATAATTCATCCCTTTCAACCTGCAGGTTAATTTACATAATGTAACATACAAACTGACAAAGCTACACACAATGATCACTACACCACTGTTCCCTGATCCTTAAAGCATGCCCCCAGGGGTTAGCAACTCTAAATTATTGTCACTAAAGGAGTTCATTGATGGCTAATTTCTATGCTAAAGAAATATTTTACATGTCTTGTGTTTACATTGTTATAATTGTAAAATAATGTCTTAAAATGATCTATTTATTTATGTGCTTAAAATGAATATGTACAATGTAATGGTAATTAAAAAAAAAATATTTTCATTTATTTGGATCAATAAATAATCTTATTTTATCTTGTGCCAATGTATTAGCACTGGTAATTAGGGAGTTTTAACACTGGTAACTAGGGAGATTTAGCACTGGTAAATAAATAGTTTGAGTGTATTATTTTTTTAAATAAGTCATTTTGAGGGGGGGGGGGCATCAAAACTTGTTAACAACTTTTAGTCAATATATATTGTCTGGTCACTTTTGTAATACGAGAACATATTATTTGGAATAAACTGTTATAGGTCTACATGCAAAACCTATTTTGATAGGTAATAATGCTGCATTATGATAAAATATGACATAATCATTCAGAACAATAGTAAAGAGTTGCAAACATCAAATGATCCCATTACAAAGTAGGCTACAAAGTACAGGTACTGCCACAAAACATAAAATTGTATGATCCCAAAATTCATTTTTGCACTGGGAGTTCTCAATGATGTGCTTGAAGAGTTGGTAGCCCCATGTAAAGGCTTTACAAACAAAGGAAACAAACATGTGGACTGACACGATTCAACTGACAGGACACATGCTAAGATAGACAAAATCAAATCTCAGTACCTTGGGGAAGTTCCTAACTGGAGTGAGAAGATTAAAATTATTGGTGGCAAAGAAGGTTACAATAGATTCAAAACCCTTTTTTTAAAAAGCTTTATTGAAAGTGTGTGTTGTCATTTGAATGGAAGATTTCAGGAAATGGATTTTTGTTGTCACAAAGCTGAAATCAGATTGTGATTTTGCATTTTGCAATGATGAAGTCATTTCTTTGAGTAAGAAATATTCAGTTTTGCTTGCGTTACCAGAACCAGCTACTAGGAATCATTACAGTAATTTCAAGTTTTATGCTGAGAGAAAATTGAAATAAAAAATCAGTAAACAGTTTTATGGAATTTGTGCAAGTATCTTTTCAAAGTGAAGAATATTCCAATTTGTCAAAACTGTAGGACATTGGTGGGATATTTATGGCATCAAGTGCAGAATTTGAAAAGGGAGGTTTAGCTTGTTGAATGTCATAAAAAAACCAAAATCAAGCAGAGAAATAGAACAGGGTGATGTACATCTGGACATGATTGTGAGAATTAAGAGCTATCAAAGTAATGGTGCGGTTGACTTAGATTGTATGCACCCAAAGTATGGGTACAGGCAAAAGAATCAGAATATAGAACAGAATATTCTATACTGAGTTTCATGATGGAGAAATACAGACTTCATTGTATGATTAATCTCATTGTGCCTTGTTTAGCTTAATTTTCACAAATAAATTTACATGCTCTGCACATCTCAATAAACAACTATAGTATTGTTGTATTTTCACGTGTTTAAAAATCGTAGAGTATTATTTTCAGCATTAAGTAATGATATAAAAAAAAATTTTTATTACACTATGAACAACTTTAACATTAATTATTACTTTACATCTGTAGCATCAGTGAAGATGTTTATTTTGTTAATGATTATTTGACTTGGATATGTTACTGTGTAAAATAAATTTAGAAATATACCAATCTATTTTTGTGTGTGTTTTTTCAATGAAAAGGAAGGGTGTCACAGATGTCATTGTTGTCACGTGACGGTATATGCTTTTACAAATTTAATCTTTTTTTACGATTTAGTTCATTAGATGAGCAATACGTAACAGAAGACTGAAAACCAGTATACAAAGTAAACGATACCAAAGCTAGTGAATTTTGCATTATGCAATTTAATTTATTCCATTTAGAAAAAAATACAAAATCAAATAAATATATATATTCAAGTATTAGTTTTGTTAACAAATAATGAGTTTACAAAATTTTCTGTGTTTTCTTGTGTAATGTTCACACTTGTGCTTGTGCCCACAGCGTCCACATTTTTTTAAAAAATTGTAAAACTTTGCAAAATACCAAACATTTGTGCACAGAGACTAGAAAAAATTATAGAGAACATCGATATGTATCATATTTTGTCTCATATAATAACCAAGGAATTGAAAATATTAGAACTAAAGTGAGTACTCACCCTTCCGTATCATTGAAACAACATATCGGGAGTCACTAGAAAACACTGAATGTCTCCGGTATACAACAGAACTATTTTGTACAATTTGTTTAAGAACGGGAGGTTTGGTTAGCTCAACAGACATGCTTCTTTTACTTGCCATAGCGTTAGATCAGTTTAAAAGCAAATATAAAAATGTAAAACTTTGCCACCATGTGTCAAATAAAATTAATATGTCATGTGTTAGTATTTTCTGTTTCAATCAAAGTATTCAAACATAATTAGGGCAAGCGAAATTTTACTGAGCTAATGAGAGAAAATTCCTACCACAGACAATCAAATGCCATTAGAATTAGTATTTGTCGTTCGGCAGATTTTCTATCATAGGCCTTGGAGCAGTAATATCAAATCCAATGCCTGATATCTATATTAATTGACTTCATTGTTGTTCTTCAATTATCCTATCTACCTAGAACAGCAGAGCATTGCTCCATGTCTTCCTAAGTTTCATTATTTCTAATTTGCTTCTTGAATATATATCGGCTCAGTAACACTTTCCATATGGTTAATGTTGTTGGGGTTTTTTTTTTTCCTTTTTTAAAAAACTCTAAGTAATAAACCAAAAATATTAATATCTTCTATACATTTAATAAAAATCAACTAACTTATTCCTGCTTAAAGATTTATCCGAAATTTGACACACACTTTATATTTAAACTCCCACCCCACCCCCACCCCACAAACCCATTTACAAAAAAAACCTGCTTTATTACGTTTTTTATCCTCACCTCTCAGCATGGGTCATTCATTTTATTAGATGGCAGAATCTTAAAATGTCTCTAAAATAGTTATGATTTAACCCAGGGGTGTGGATAGAAATTTTAATAGCTTTGTAAGATAAGACATAAAACATTCATTTTAAATTTTCTTTATTTTCCTGACAGTGTTTTTATGGGTATTTTGCTGTTTGATCATTGAGTTATAGATCATCAAGTGTTTCTTGATTGACAGTATGTAAAAATTTGCATCAATGATCCAACAATTAAACTTTGCACTGCCAAGGTTAACCCACCAACTTTCATAAAGGCCGATCATCAAAAATTGTAAGGCAAGCTTTGAAGTAGCAACTGTTACATGTCGTAAATTATTTTTGAAAATGTTGCTACATTTTAGCATTTAAATTAAACTGGGAATATTTAAATTAAGACTTGCCACTCAAAATTATTCTAGAAGTTTTTAGTATAATTCTTATTTGGACAAAAATAACAGGAAATTTGTATTCAATATTTTAATGAAAAGAAATAATTCTTAAAATATGTTTATGTAACCAATGCAGTTACAAAAATGCTAGGAATAATACAAGTCCATTCCACAATATATAGACCACAGGCCAATGGTATGGTAGAACGATGGAACAAGACACTAAAAACAATGTTAAATAAAACAACAATAGACCACCCTAGAGAATGGCACCTATATATACCCATGGTTTTATTCGCCTATAGAGAGAGTATACAAGACACCACTGGGTACTCTCCATTTGAGCTAATGTTTGGGGCCAATCCAAAGGGACCGTTAACTCTTTTTAAAGAAAATATTTTAGGCCAGAAAGGCACACA